CGTTCAAAAAAAGGGATTCCTTAGTTTCTAGAAAAAATTAAGAGGAGAGAATGATCATGAGGAAATACAGTAGCGATCTGACCTGCTTCCGATTATCCTTCCATACCCAGATTCCCATTCATCCTGCGATTGTGCTATGTGAAATGGAGGTATTGTATTGCCAGCAGCTATTCTTACCGAGCCATCAGAACTGGGTGACATCTTGTTTTTAGTTTCGCTGGGTACGTATCTTCTCCGGGTGTGTGCCGATTCGTGCGATTCTGGGTGCACGCGGCAAACTGCGCGGTGAAATTCATGACGGTTCGAACGACTCTGGCGCCTATTATTGGGGTACAATCTTGGAATAAAACAGATTAGTAGGTCAGCTGATACTACTTATCTACTCTTCTTCAAAATTGGGCCCCAAAAATAGGCGCTAAAGTCGTCAGAATAGCCGTGAATTTCGTCAAATAGGCGCTAAAGTCGTCAGAATAGCCGTGAATTTCGTCGCGCAATTTGCCGCGCGCGCCCAGAATCGCAGGAATCGTGCGTCTCCCATCTTCTCCCCGGACACTGCGTCGCGCTCGCCGCACCCGCCGCGTATTACAGAAATACGATGGAAGATTGAAACGCGCAATTTGTGAGTTGAATCCTTTAATTATTTGAATTCGCTGGCCGCTCCCATCAATTCCAATGCGGTCGTGATCGTAGATAATATAGGTGGAGTCATTCCAAACAATTAAATTACTAAAGATAATAACGGAAAAGACAGAAAAAAACAACTCAAACTTTTCAAAAGAAAGAAAGGCAGTCAGCGAAAAATACTGCGTATTGATTAGTGGGGAGGCGGACTTGGTACGGCAATTTCAGTTTGAAGAAGCGTGACAACTAAAAAAGGTTTGCCGCATCTGCGCGGTGAAATTCATGACGGTTCGAACGACTCTGGCGCCTATTATTGGGGTACAATCTTGGAATAAAACAGATTAGTAGGTCAGCTGATACTACTTATCTACTCTTCTTCAAAATTGGGCCCCAAAAATAGGCGCTAAAGTCGTCAGAATAGCCGTGAATTTCGTCGCGCAATTTGCCGCGCGCGCCCAGAATCGCAGGAATCGTGCGTCTCCCATCTTCTCCCCGGATACTGCGTCGCGCTCGCCGCACCCGCCGCGTATTACAGAAATACGATGGAAGATTGAAACGCGCAATTTGTGAGTTGAATCCTTTAATTATTTGAATTCGCTGGCCGCTCCCATCAATTCCAATGCGGTCGTGATCGTAGATAATATAGGTGGAGTCATTCCAAACAATTAAATTACTAAAGATAATAACGGAAAAGACAGAAAAAAACAACTCAAACTTTTCAAAAGAAAGAAAGGCAGTCAGCGAAAAATACTGCGTATTGATTAGTGGGGAGGCGGACTTGGTACGGCAATTTCAGTTTGAAGAAGCGGGACAACTAAAAAAGGTTTGCCGCATGCCGCAAAGCTAACGTGGGAAATTGAGGAGAAGTTCCGTTACCCCAGTTGAAGGTTCGCCAGCATTATAGGTAGCATTCTAGCTTTATAAGCAACCATATAAATTTTGGATTATACTAAAAGAGTTACAATACTATTGGAAAGTAATTGTAAAAGAGACATCCGGCTGTAATGCCAAGCAAAAAGCAATGTTCATGTGCTAATAATGTCAAAATCGTTCGAAGAGTGGAACTTACCTCTTCGGGTTCATCAATATGGGTTTTTGCTGCATGAACACGTAACTTGTCCGGATATCCTAGTCGAGTTTTGATTTTTGACAGTTGAGTCTTCTATCTGAAAAAGTGTGCTTACGAATGGAGCTGCTTACAAAAGAGATTTCTAGAGTTCGTCGAAATCTCACCAATGCAATAACTTCAGAGATTTCCGTGTTAATGCTTCTCTTTTTTTGTTGTTTACTTTGTTTACCTGTTTACTTGATTACTGATGCTCAGTAATCAATTTCTAGTAAAAAACCATTAGCCGCGAAGAAGGGCTTTGAGTTGATGGTATGATCAAGGTAACCCTTTCCAAGCACCAATAAAATTTCACGGGTTGCGCCATCGCATTCGACTTCCATCAAAATCTTAGTATCGCTTTGTTTGCTTATAGGGCCCATTCAATGAAATGTGGTGGTCAGCTGAAGTAGGAAACGGCGGCTTCAATGTGGTGGTCAGCTGAAGTAGGAAACGGCTGCTTCGTCCTCCTAGACAGGTATGGTATCAATCAACCGACTTCGGAAGGGTAGAAGGTTCGGTCAATGAGTGGAGATCGATCCGAAGTTCGATCCTCGAACCATGCGTGTGATAGTGCACTACATCGCCCTCACATTAACTAAGCTCTTTGTAAAATAATGACGCAGAAAATTGGGTTCATCTGATGAAAATATTGTGAGCATCGTTTATTCAATGGTGCGGAAGCACATCATTACATTCAAGCACTACCAAGTATGAAGAAATGAAGTGTCAGGCGACTTTCTCACCTCAGTAAAAGGAGTTTTCGGTGGCGGTGGATTGATTTCCATTTGTTTTTCCGCTTCATCGACGTACGACTTCGGTTTTGGATAGTAAATCTCACCGAGAGCAGGATTATCCGATGTGTACGGATTCGGTTGTTCTTCGGTTTTCAACGCTGGCAGTTCGAGGAATGGGAACACTGAATTGGATAGATGTCATGAAGAGTCGAGAAGAAAAAAAGACCAAATTCCTACTTTATAGAAACGAAAACCCTTTTAGTCTATATCTGTTAAGGTAAGGTAGAGAGCTTCTGGGATCTCAACCACTAACGGATACCTACGAATAGAGTACGAACTCTGTTTTCCACAGTTCAGCGCTTATACGACATTTCAGTGACAGTGGGACAAGTTTGGGCCTCATAGCCGTCAAAATGTTCGAAACAAGACTTTTTTGCCTTTATTTTTGTATTCACAGTAACGAATGAGAGGTAAAATAGAATCAAACTGAAAGAATCTCGCTAAACTCACATGCTTTCGAGAAGTCAAGCAAGCCGGTGCCTTGCTCCTTTTCCTGGCCCACGTGAAAAGTGCCAATGCCACCCAATGACATCTAAAACAATGTTGCTATTTTTCGTTCAGATATTCACCATTGAAAACAATTCCCACTTGTTCTTAATCTCATTTTTAGGCCTCCTCATCAAATAATGTTAATATTGGCAGTAAAATTAAAAGACAAGTTCTCGATAAAAACAGTTTCCGATATCCAACCGGGACGAAACTGTTTCTTCCTAGTATGCTTTAAGCTTCACAAAACGGTTTATAGAAGATCGGGCGCATTAAGGGGTCAAGGATCGGTCTTGTCGACGGCCACACTCTAGATGGACGAGTTTCTATGGCGCTGCAGAGGCTGCACCATTCAAAAAGGATACCCATGATGGAGATCCAAGCAACTAAACATGATCCACAGCAGCAATGTGAGACAACTTCGGACATTTTCGAAGAAATGTTGCCGGCTCTTTGCGCAATTGCAACAACTGCGATCCAATTCAAATATCTATTCCATTTCATTTCCGCCACGGTGATTCCGTAGAGACCCCTATTTCCATTACTTATGATAATACTTAGATTTCGTGAATCTCGCCGAGTTTCTCGCATTTTTTGTCACAGTCGCACTATTCTCCATTGAAGCTTTCGCTTTTCGACTTGGAAGGTGCCTCGAATTATCGTGAGCTGTGTCTTCAACGACGCTTCTATGATCAATTACATTTAAGGCATCGAAACGCCTAGAGTGTTGTGCACAGGTCAGGAAAATGTGTTTGTCTCAGCAAAACTAAGAAGCCGTATCCTCTCTTTCAATTGCTTTACCTGGAATTCTTGCAGTACATGGGACAAAACTGATTGCCCTGCATTGGGGATTCGGTAGGTAGGGTAGCTTGCTAAGCGAAGTAGCCTGTCTGCGGATATCAATGGGTTTGATTGTTAAAGATCTTTTTCTGTTTGTGTTACTTATCTGAAATGATTTCTTGCAAAACCCAGTCCATCAGACTTCATCGAGATTTCTCCGAGGTGAGGCTGAAATTCGCATCCAATCTGAATCATGGGGATTTTTGAATGACGAAATTTGGTCACAACGCGACAGACAAACGCGGGGCTTCCTATATATAGTGGAGGTACCGGTATTGCTTTCTCTTGTCTTTCTATTTTACCAGTCGGGCGGCCCGGCTAACGCCGGGCTTCCCTCCTTCTTATGGTGA